TGGTTCAGTCCTGGTTCAGTCTTTGTTTTAGTCCTGGTTTAGTCCTCGGTTCAGTCCTCGGTTCAGTCTTTGTTTTAGTCCTCGGTTCAGTCCTCGGTTCAGTCTCGGTTCAGTCCTCGGTTCAGTCCTGGTTCAGTCCTGGTTCAGTCCTGGTTCAGTCCTGGTTCAGTCCTGGTTCAGTCCTCGGTTCAGTCTTTGTTTTAGTCCTGGTTTAGTCCTCGGTTTAGTCCTGGTTCAGTCTTTGTTTTAGTCCTGGTTCAGTCTTTGTTTTAGTCCTCGGTTCAGTCTTTGTTTTAGTCCTGGTTTAGTCCTCGGTTCAGTCCTGGTTCAGTCTTTGTTTTAGTCCTGGTTTAGTCCTCGGTTCAGTCCTGGTTCAGTCCTGGTTCAGTCCTCGGTTCAGTCTTTGTTTTAGTCCTGGTTCAGTCCTGGTTCAGTCCTGGTTTAGTCCTCGGTTTAGTCCTCAGTTCAGTCTTTGTTTTAGTCCTGGTTCAGTCTTTGTTTTAGTCCTGGTTCAGTCTTTGTTTAGTCCTGGTTTAGTCCTCGGTTCAGTCTTTGGTTCAGTCCTGGTTCAGTCCTGGTTCAGTCTTTGTTTTAGTCCTGGTTTAGTCCTCGGTTCAGTCCTCGGTTCAGTCTTTGTTTTTAGTCCTCGGTTCAGTCCTCGGTTCAGTCCTCGGTTCAGTCCTGGTTCAGTCCTGGTTCAGTCCTGGTTCAGTCTTTGTTTTAGTCCTGGTTTAGTCCTCGGTTTAGTCCTGAGTTCAGTCTTTGTTTTAGTCCTGGTTCAGTCTTTGTTTTAGTCCTGGTTCAGTCTTTGTTTTAGTCCTGGTTCAGTCCTCGGTTCAGTCCTCGGTTCAGTCCTCGGTTCAGTCCTGGTTTAGTCCTCGGTTCAGTCTTTGGTTCAGTCCTGGTTCAGTCTTTGTTTTAGTCCTGGTTTAGTCCTCGTTCAGTCTCGGTTCAGTCTTTGTTTTAGTCCTGGTTCAGTCCTGGTTCAGTCCTGGTTCAGTCCTCGGTTCAGTCTTTGTTTTAGTCCTGGTTCAGTCCTGGTTCAGTCCTGGTTCAGTCCTGGTTCAGTCCTGGTTCAGTCCTCGGTTCAGTCCTCAGTTCAGTCTTTGTTTTAGTCCTGGTTTAGTCCTGGTTTAGTCCTCGGTTCAGTCCTCGGTTCAGTCTTTGTTTCAGTCCTGGTTCAGTCCTGGTTCAGTCCTGGTTCAGTCCTGGTTCAGTCCTGGTTCAGTCCTGGTTCAGTCCTGGTTTACTAATGTAAATACGTTGTAATTATTTAAGTCTAAATATAAATACTTCAAATAAATATCATGTTTTAATTGAAAAAAATCAACAAAATACAAGATGCAGACGTGTTTTATTTACCAACAAGTAAAAATAAACCGTGACAACTTTTGATTATCCCCAATGTGACGATTCATCTGAACCACTGTGGAACATTTCAGCCAAAAAACCTCCACGAATAAAAAACATCAGATGACACACCCTCCACCGGAAAAGTTACACAATGCACCTTTAAAGCTTAACAAGTACAACCTGGGGACGTCTGGTAATTTGCAAATTACCGCCCCACCTCTGTTTTCCTCGCGGCGCATTCACACGGGATCAACCAGGTCCATAAATTACTTTTTGTTTTTTTACTGACACTGACACTGAGATTGAAAGAGAAAAGAAAAGAGACAGAAAAGGCGCAATTACAAAAACAAACGCAGAGATGCAGATTCACACGGGACGAGTTTTATCACCGGACGAGTGTTTGGTGAAATAGAATCGGTCATTTACGGCGGAATTTTTACTTTTCTTATTACAAATTACAGACGTGACGCATTCGCACGGGATTTTTTATATAAATGAGTGTATTTATTTATTTGTTTACTTGAAATATAGAGATATATTTATGTTTTTCTTCATGTTCAAAGTTTATTTTATTCATTTTATGTTTTATATACGTCGCAAAATGTTCTGAGGTTCAGATTTGTATTTTTATTTTCAATTTGAAAGTTTTGCGTAAATTATTTTGTGCAAGTGTGTGTGTATTTTTTTTGTTTTTTGTTTTAGTTTTTTGAAAGGGAGAAATGCTGAATAAATCCACCGTGTAACTAAAAAATAATCGTTTGAATAATCATGATTTCAATACTGACCAAAATATTATTATTATTTTTTTTTTGAGTAGAACTGATCTCGGTCTTCCTCCGCAGTTATTACAAATCACCAAAACGTCCACAGGTCACAGGTCACAGGTCACAGGTCACACTAATCTCCTGAGAATCGGGCTTTAGTTACTTTTACTTGAGAAGTAGTTTTCCCAAATACTTTTTTTTGTACTTCTACTTGAGTAATACTGTTTTGAAGTAACAGTACTCTTACTCAAGTACAAGTTTCTGCAACTTTACGACCTCTGCTTTTTCTTTTCACACATGGGAACAGGGACTAAACCAGGACCAAGCCAGGACTAAAATGTGACTAAATTGTGACTAAACTGGGACTAAACCGGGACTAAAACCAGGACTAAACTGGGACTAAACTGTGACTAAACTGGGACTAAAACCGGGACTAAACCGGGACTAAAACCGGACTAAACCGGGACTAAAACCGGGACTAAATTGTGACTAAATTGGACTAAATTGTGACTAAACCGGGACTAAAACCAGGACTAAATTGTGACTAAATTGTGACTAAACTGGGACTAAATTGTGACTAAAACCGGGACTAAAACTGGAACTAAACTGGGACTAAACTGGGACTAAACTGGGACTAAACTGGGACTAAAACGGGACTAAACCGGGACTAAAACCGGGACTAAATTGTGACTAAAACCGGGACTAAAACTGGAACTAAATTGTGACTAAACTGGCACTAAACCGGCACTAAACTGGGACTAAACTGGGACTAAACCGGGACTAAACTGGGACTAAACCAAGACTAAATTGTGACTAAACCGTGACTAAATTGTGACTAAAACTGGAACTAAAACCGGGACTAAATTGTGACTAAAACCAGGATGAAATTGTGACTAAACCAGGGATTACACACATATAAGGACACATGGGAACCCGGAGTAAAACCGGCACTAAACCGGGACTAAAACAGCGATTAAAACCAGGACTAAATTGTGACTAAAACTGGGACTAAAGGGGACTAAAACCGGGACTAAAGCGGGACTAAACCGGGTCCATGTGTGTATTCTAGTCTCCGTGTCTTGTACTTGTTCTGATCCAGTTCCAGTTCGTTCTAAACACATTCAGGAAAGTTTCTGCTCTGTCCTGTCAGTTTCTTTCTTTCGTATCGATACTTGTGAAAAACGAGGATCTAGTTTGGATTCTGGTTTTATTATCGGGTAGAATCAGATGTTTGATTCTTTTTTACACCCTCCTGTTTAGCGCTGATATGAAATCAGAGCAGAGAGTGGTGTGATTGTTTGATCAGCAGAAGCGCAGACACTCGAGCTGCTCTGGGTCTCGGGGGGAGCGGCTCTTCTCTTCTGGGACGTTTCACACACGCAACTCTGGAAATGTTCAGGATTATTTAACCCTCACTGACCCAGGGCGATTTTGGTCGACTAAAACATCGTCATCACAGTTTTTGTCAGTTTTATGGTTTGATACTACAACAAAAAAAAACAAAAAAACAAACAAACAAAAAACCCAGCAGCATATTGTAATATTTAAATAACAGAACTTTCTTTTCTATTTGAAAGTGTCTTTAGATCTGTGTAAACCCTGGTTTAGTCCTGGTTTAGTCCTGGTTTAGTCCTGGTTTAGTCCTGGTTCAGTCCTGGTTTACCTGGTTTCCTGGTTCACCTGGTTTCCTGGTTAGTCCTGGTTCAGTCCTGGTTCAGTCCTGGTTCAGTCCAGTCCTGGTTCAGTCCTGGTTCAGTCCTGGTTCAGTCCTGGTTTCAGTCCTGGTTGGTTCAGTCCTGGGTCCTGGTTTAGTCCTGGTTTAGTCCTGGTTTCAGTCCTGGTTCAGACCTGGTTCAGTTTAGTCCTGGTTTAGTCCTGGTTTAGTCCTGGTTTAGTCCTGGTTTTTAGACCTGGTTTAGTTCCTGGTTCAGTCCTGGTTTAGTCCTGGTTCAGTCCTGGTTTAGACCTGGTTTAGACCTGGTTTAGACCTGGTTCAGTCCCTGTTCCCATGTGTCCTTATATCTGTTTTAGTCCTGTTTTAGTTTGGAGCCTTTTTTCCATCCATGCTGATAAACGTGGACGATGCAGATTTATAAAGGATAAAAATAGTTTCTTGTAGAACCACACGAAAAAGTGATCTATACCAAGATGTTTTGATTCTGTTCTGTCACTGTAAAACTGTTACACTCTGCTTTTTGTTTTCATTGTTATGAAAAGTGGTTTACACATAAAGTTTGTTCATATCATTTTCAGTCTTCAGTGTTAATTTACCACCGGACCAAATCTGAAACATCCCAGACACACTGCATGTGAAGGGCTCTCAAAAAAACAAAAAGTCTGGATTGTATATTACCTCCCCATATGATCATTTTCCCCAAATATCAGATTTTTCCTGTTACTAAAAATTACTTTGAGCCTGAGAGGGTTTGACGTCTTTTTCTTTACACCTTCTGTGTTTCTCTCTGTCGTCTTTTTCTCTCTTTCACTGCTGCTGTTTCTCTCTGTTTACTTCCAGGGGCAAGATAAAAGGTCACATGACTCAAAGATAAATATTTTACAAATAAAATATAAAATGAATACCAGTGGTGCTCTGACACATCTTAATATTTGAACAAATAAAATAATGATTTTCTGACTTATTACCATGAAAACAAATATACTGACACTGACATTATCATCAGTAACAAAAAGAGTTTATATTTCATATTTAGAACTAAACATATGATCAATTCTACACATGTAGGAGCCGTAAAGTGATGGAAAATTCACTTTAGGTCATGAAAAAGTCATGGAAAAGTTTTGAAATGTTGTCAGTGAAAAAGCGTGGAAACGTGAACCACGTCTCTTTAAACGCCTGTTGGTTTTTTTCTTGTTTGTGTGCAGAGAGGATGACGGAGCGCGCCCCCTGGTGGAAGGCCTTCCTGCCCAAGAAGAAGAGCGGCTCGAAGGAGTCCCACGCCATCGGCCCGGACTTCGACCCCTGGGCCCCGCGTCAGGACAAGCCCCGGGACCCCGCCCACCCCAAGGCCGACCCCGCCGACCGCCCCGCCGACCGCCCCGCCCTGGACAGCGACGAGCGCTACGACGACTCGCACATGGAGTCCGTGTTCAACGAGAAGACCTGCCGCAGGAACATGAACGTGAGCCGCTCGGGCAGGTTCAAGGAGAAGAGGAGGGTGAGGAAGAGTCTGCCCATCCAGGACGGAGGCGCCAAAGAGGAGGTGCGGTGATGGGACCGGAGTCCTCGCCGACCGCGCGCCCAGACAAGACTGTTTACTCTGTGTACATGTGTGAAGAAGAACGGACCGATGAAGTGCGCCCGCCCGCCCGCCGCCGCGTAGGGACCAAACCGGCTCCGACCGCGAGACCCGGACAAATACTCGGACTTGAGAAGATATCCATGGGTTTCAGAACGAGGGGGAGTTTTAGGACTGTTGCCGTCGCGATTTAAATGAAATATTAGATCTTTTGAAAAGCGAAAAGTCCTGAAAATGTCTCCCAGAACACGAAGCTGAAACCCATGAATATTTACAATGTTTAGTTTGTCTCTAGTTTTACGAAGCGAGTCAAAAATCTGCAAAATGAGCTGAAAAACTTTTGGACTTTGACAGGACCTCGATCAAGAAGGAAGCGTGGCGACGGAACCAGCGACCGCACACGCCCAAGACTGTTTACAATGAAGGAAGGGGCTGACCAAGCGCCCTCTGCTGGGAGTGGGGGGGGGGGGGGTGTAACACAATCACAATATGAAGTCAGGTTGGACCCCGTCACAAAGAGTCAGTCAGGAGACATTTAAAAAATCATCATTCAGTGTTTAAAGGACACATATTATGCAAAATGTAGTTGGTTTACGCTTCATTTACGCTGGTTTCAAACTTTCAGTAATCCGCTTTAAAAAGTCTCTTGCTTCTGAACCTTAAAGAATATACGGTTTGAATTTTCCTTGGATTGTTGCGTCGTAGGTAAAACTAGTCTGACTGATTGTTGTCGATTGTTTAGAATCCAGGCGAGGAAATTCAATTTGTCAACTGGACAAACGTTTATTTTGGTCAAAAACAGGGTTTGGCGGTAATACGGTGTTGCGTATCCCACGGTATCAAAATGTAGCAACAGTATCAGCTTCATTACTGAAATAAAAAAAAATCTGCAGTGCGTAAGGACCTAATATAATTTTGCAATTTATTGATACCTAAATTTGTTTTATCAGCACAAATGACTGTGGTTGTATTTTTAGTTTAATGCATCACAATTTAAAACTAATAGTGTCTATAATGTTTCCTTTAACTGCGCGGGGAGACGATGTTCGATTAATTTCGATTAATTTTCAATCCGTTGTAACGTGACGCTCATAAGAGAGACTAAGGCAAGTCCAGCCATAAGAGAGTTGGTCCAAAAAAAAAAAAAAACTAATTCTTTTGCAGTTTGGCAGCATTTTAGCTTCAGGTGCACATTTATTTCTGTTTTTCAGAAATGAAACTTAAAACCACATGACTCATTTGCATAAAGTATAAAGTGCCGATTAAAAACAGCTCTTTTCGTGTGCGCTGATGTGGTTCAGTTTCTGTCGGACTAAAGGACACGACTCAGTGGAATATGAGTGTTCTTTCTGTGACAGAGGATGTGCTGCTGATGGTGAGTCTGTTCTGTGCGTGTTTCGCCTTGGAGATGGTTCATGTTAAACTTTTCAGAGATTTTACGTCTGCAGGTCATAGGCATAGACCATATAGTGGTGCGACTTCGTAGTTTACCAAAGTCGTACTAAAACATTTTGGTAACGCAGTGATACCGTATGCCCCGCTAAAATCCTGAGAAGGTTTAACGGATCAAAATTTGGATACCGCCCAACATTAGTCGAAAACGTAACCTAAACCTAACCTGAATAGACATTTGTCCAGTTGACAAATTGGATTTCTCCTTTGCCGTGGATTCTGCCTGGACGACTGAGGGATTCTTCTTCCCCACGTCTTTAGAATCCAGAGAAACCGGCGGCCGATAAGCTCCGCCGATATTTTTGGGCCGATATGCAGGGCCGATTTTTAATCAACGACAAACTCACCAACAGCTTTCTTTTTTTTTTTTGTCACAAATCTTCAAAAGGGCTGCGTACTCACATTTTGAGCCATTATCTATTTGCATTATTGTTGCCATAGCGATTTGAATGAAGTATTCGATCTTTTGAACGGTGAAAAGTGCCCAAACTGTGACCCATAACAATGTTTAGTATGTCACAAGTTTTAGGACGCCAGACAAAAATCTGCAAAATGAGCTGAAAACCAAGAACTTCATCAGGACCACGAAGAATATATTTTTTTATCTATGTATTTTTTTACTTAAGTACAGTAATTATCTGTAAAAAGTCCTTTTTTGGCCTCAAAGAATTCACAGTTTGAATTTTCCTTGGATTGTTGCGTCATAGGTAAAAACCCTATCCAGTTTTTAAGTGCGTAAATCAAATTGCCAGCCTCGCTCTGAGCATTTCTGTCGTCAAACTGCGCTCATTATAATTGCGTGCCACAGTCAGGCATGTCCGGGCATGTTCGTCATTATCTAAGACGATTGAAGGAGCAAGAAATAACTGTATTAATATATACTAGTATTTTTATTTATGTTTTTTTAATGTTCGTCCTTATGTTAAAATAAATCATTGTAATAATAATGTGAGAATATGAAGCTGGGGCCTGAAAAGTTTGCGAATCCTTTTTTTACAACGCCATTTATTTATTTCCAAATCCATGAAATGCCAAAAGTAAAGGTGCTCAGAAATGTTTAAAAGGCCAATAACAACAAAACAAATGCATAATATGTGTCCTTTAAAGAAACTCCACGCTCTTGTCGTACTTTTATATTTTGTCCAATCGCGCTCCCCAGAAACGACCAGCTCCACAAACTGTTTACACTGTGATGAAGAAGAAGAAGATGAAGATGAAGACGGCTCTAAAACGTGCAGGAAGTGTCCGTGTGACGCGCTTTCAGATCAGGGTGTAGAGTCAAATTTAAAATCCACATTATTTGTCCAAGAGCTGAATAAAAAACGCAAATAAATGTAATAATTATAATAGACGTCAACGTAGAAAAGCACAACTACTCGACAGCACAACTGAAATTAATGTTTTTGCAGAAGGCCTATTGATACTTTGCAGCTGATATCGTCAATATTCTCTGGGGGTGTGGCGCTAACTGAAGGCACTGCCCTGTCAGAAGCTTTGTTAGACTTTAATCTGAGCTTTACACTGAACAAAAACAATATCTAGGTCAATTAAAATGACTTAAATTAAGACTTTATTTGAGTCGATTCAACTTGACAAGTCAAATGATCTACAACTGGAATAAGAGTGTTTTTCGTAATTCAAGCAACGTTCGATTTTGTTTCTTATTTTAAGTGCAAAAAGTTGAGTTTTAAGTGTAGACAGATGTGTTTTTATGTTTGAAGTACAAAAAGTCTTGTTCCGTCGGCGGATCTTTTTACTTGTCAAGTGAAATTTACTCAAATCATGATCAAACTTTCTTACTTCAATTCGTCTTAACTTGACAATCTGAGCAGAAAGAGTTGACTTAATTGAAACTACAGCAGGTGAGCTGATTTGTGCTCTTAAACACATTTCTTAAAACACGCGGGACTCTAGTTCGAGCCCCCCATGTCATCCAAGGCATCGGCGTTGCTGCGTTTGGCGAGTGCCTTGTTTTCCCGGTAGAGAAACTTAAACGTATTTATTACAAAAACACATCAGTGAAGGCGATCGGCGGTTGTGGCGTATATATACACCGGGTAAATGAAATTAAGAACATTTGACTTTATTTGAGTCGATTGAACTTGAAAAGTAAAATTATCGACCCATGGAATAAGTGTGTTTTTCTCCATTCAAGCAACTTTAAAGCAATTAATTGACAGCAAAAAAAAATGATTATTCCATTGAAGCAACATGATTTACTTTTCAAGTGAATTTTACTCAAAAGATTGATTTTCTTAAGAAATTTTTCATAATGGAATGGAGTTAGATTTTCATTGCAGTGATTTTTTTTTGACCAGTCAAGAGTTGACTTTAAGTTGTTTTGCAGTTGTTTGTTAGTCTAAATTTTTGCGATTCAGACTGCAGTGTCAACAAACTGGAAAGTTAGTTGGAGCCTTGGAGCCTTTGCACTTGAGTTCAGACGCCCCAGATGTCGTCCAGGGCGTCGCTGCCGTCGGTGAATGCGTTGTTTTCCCGTTCAAAAGAGTGCCTTTAGTGTATTTATTACATAAACGCGGCGTAGATTTCTCATTCTCGTGCTTGTGGCTCTTGGGTCTTTCTCTTTCTACTCATTTTTCCGGACAAAAACATCGCTACGTCACTGAACACTCGTCCCTGATTGTTTGACCCGACTCGTCCGACGCCAAAAATTCATCTTTTTAAACTTCTGGCCTGAACGCTCAAGACGCGCTGCAATAACGCCAGACTCTCGCCGCTCTGACGCAAAAACACACAACGCTCGAGCCTTGACGCCCGCGGCCTGAACGCAGCTTTACACGTGAAGTTATACTTACACGATCAGCGTTCGCAAACAGTTTTCCAGTGAGTCGCTCTCACCTTTTTGTTAAAAATCAAACTCCTAAACGCGACCATGAACACTCAGACTGATCACAGGAAAATGAAAATGTCAAATTTAAATCCATTAAAAGAAATTTCTTGAGTTCCTTAATCTGTGCGTTGTGTCACCATGGTAACCGCTGATCATTCCGCCGATAGAGACACATGTAGAACTCCCCCCAGCAGCGTCGAGTCTCTGCAAAGTATCAATAGACTGATTTTCTTTTAATCAATTTATCGTCGATGGATTTTTGGCCTAGTACTTTTCTCTATATTTAGGCTGATTCTTTTGTTCTGTTTAATTTCCGTCAGATTATTTCGTTGTTTTAGTTTTTATTTAAGTTTTTATTATTGTAAACAAACCCGTAAATAATAATAACTCTTACGTTTTACAGCCGATTCCACGCGTCCCGTGACGAACTGACAGTTTCTATGTTTACTTCGTGTCGTTGAGTTTATACTTTTGTGGTTCTTGTGAATGTTCGGGGTGAAAGGTTTTTATTTATGAAGGTGTTTTTAATGACGCTAACTCACACGCTGTATGCTGCATGCTTGCTGGGGGCTTAACGGAGCTAAACGCGCTAATCGCTGAAGTATTTTGAAATGAAAAAATGAAGGATGGAAGTTTTATTTGTTCATAAAAAAGCTGCCCAAAGTGAAGGACTGTGTAGCGGCCGATAATGTGATGATTGTTAATGGTAAAATCGCCACTGACGTAACAATCTTGGACAATTTTAAAAAACTAGAAATGTACGTAAGTCGCTCTCGATAAAAGATTCGAGTTTAATTTGTGTTTAAAGCCACAGTACGTAACTTTCTAGCAAAAAAAAATTGTTTCCAGTTGCGCTTGTGTTTACCGTTTTGCACTTTGAGCGAGCTTGCCTCTCCACAAACCCGACTCCTCCCGCTTGTTTGCATGGAAATGTTGGCAAAAACATATCTGTCTTGATGCGAATCTCATTTTAACTTTCGTTTTTTGTGGAATTCCGGAAGTTTCGCGCCGTGTCTTTAAATCAGACAAATTACGACTTCGATATTTTTCAAAGAATGGACCAGAAATTGTCACTTAATCCTGTTTTATTCGCGTTTATTCGAGGTTTATGTTGCGTGAGAACTGTGTTGTTTCGATTTAAATTGTCCAGAATTGTTACGTCATAGGCGGTGTTACGTTTGAACAGGCCGATCGAACATTATCGTCCGGTGAAAACAAACTAACACAAACTGAAATGTGATCATCTGTGAACCGAATGAAGAGACAATAAACAGCAAAATATACAAACTTATCAAAGACATTTTCTGTTTTTAATTGTGCACAGTGTTTAGGGGGACCAGAATTTCAAAATAAAAAACTGGGACATGCCCGGTTTTTCATGGTTGGTGATGATAAAATTGTGAAATGAGTGAGAAATTAAGGAAAAATGTTCTGCAGAGACAATTCATGACGAACATGTGAGTCAATACACTCAGATTTTCTTTGTGTTTTGGTCGTTTTTAAGAAGATTTTTTTGTATTTTACCAAAAATTACAAGTTATGTCTCTCTTTACTGTTGGCAGGGATAAGATTGGTGAAAAATAGAGACACCAGGGACATTTCTTGTATAAAACTGGGACAAATCAGTGGTTTTGTATAAATCTGCTGGGACAGGGACATTTTACGTTACTAATCACAAATATAGACTACCAAAAACCAATCTATATGGTAATTCCGAAAAGGACTGGGGAAAAATAAACACTTATTTGCCCACACTTCCTTTTACAAATCCATAAAATTAATAATGTGCTTCTGCCAGATTCTTATAAAAGTAAATCACATTATTCCAGACACAAAATAAAAAAATAAAATAAATAAAATAAAATTAATAATAATAAATAAAATAATAGTACATAAAAAATTAATAAAAATAATAAAACATACTAAAATAAAAATAAAATAAAATAATTAATAAAAAATAATAAAACATACTAAAATAAAATAAAAATATAAAATAATTAATAAAAATAACTAAAATTAAATAAGTAAAATAATAAAATAAAATAAATAATACAAATTATAAAATAATAAAATAAACAATAAAACTTAAAATAAAATACTAAAATAAAATAATGAAAACAAAATTAACTAAACTATAAAAATAAAAAATAATAAATCATACTAAAATAAAATGATAAGATAAAATAATTAATACAAAAATTACTAAAATAATAATAATAAAAATACAAAAAATAAACTAAAATAATAAATGAATAAAATAATAAAGTAAAATAAATATAGTAAAACTTAATAAAATAAAATGCTAAAATAAAATAATGAAAGCAAAATGAACTAAAATAAAATAAACACACTCAAGTAAAATAATAAGATAAAATAAGAAATGAAAATTTTACTAAAATAAAATAATAAAATAAATAGCTGGTCTTCGCAGATCTGGCCTGTAACCTGTTTGTCTCCATGGAGATATAAACTCTTCACCAGAAAAGTTACATAATTCCCCTTTAATGTCTTGTATTCAAGTCATTGTGGTGTTTTCTTTTCTCAGACCTGCAAAGGGGTGTAACCACATTCTTATATAATGTTTTTCCACTTTAAACCGGTGACGCGGCTCATTCTGCTGTTGTGTTCTTGAGCAGGACACTTCCCCGGCCGCTTTAAACACAACACACGTATTATCCGAGCGGAGTATATTTAGCAGCCGTGGGCCCGACAGGTCGATCAGGCTTTTAATTGTAAAGTTAAACCAGAACGACGGCCTCTTATTGGAATAATGAGCTTTTGTTTGTGTGATTATGATGGATCGTGATTATGAAGCTTTGAATTAGTGCGGCGAATCAAAGGTGTGTGTGTGTGTGTGTTTGTTTGTACGTGTGGGTGTGTGTGTGTGTGTGTGTGTGTGTACGTGTGCGCGTGTGTGTGTGTGTGTGTGTACGTGGGCAGGTGTTCATTACATTATGGAGTTGTGTTTTGTTTCATTCACATGTTTGAGGCACAAACTCTGCACATTTAGGCGAATATTTTGACAAAATCTGAGAAAAAAAATCTAAGACAAATTTGAAAATGAATCAGTTTTCTTCATCTACATGTCACTGTATATTGGTCTAAACCAGGTCTAAACCAGGTCTAAACCAGGTCTAAATCAGGTCTAAATCAGGACTAAACCAGGTCTAAATCAGGAGTAAACCAGGTCTAAATCAGGTCTAAATCAGGACTAAACCAGGTCTAAATCAGGACTAAATCAGGTCTAAATCAGGACTAAACCAGGTCTAAATCAGGACTAAACCAGATCTAAATCAGGTCTAAATCAGGTCTAAATCAGGACTAAATCAGGACTAAACCAGATCCAAACCAGGTCTAAATCGGGACTAAACCAGGTCTAAATCGGGACTAAACCAGGTCTAAACAAGGACTAAACCAGGTCAAATTTAAGTCTAAACCAGGTCTAAATCAGGTCACTGTCGAAGGTGTGTGTGCACATGTGTCGAGTGCAGGATCTTCCAAGAAAAATTGACTTATTCCTATTTACATACAAGTTCATGTTAAAACATTGTGTTGAAATTACATTTTTCTTAAAGTTTCAGGTTGTTCATAATATTATAATATTTTGTAAAAGAAAGAGTTCATCAATTAA